CGTTTTTGTCCACTGCTTGAATCAAATGCCTAGTGGCATGATCAAAGCGGATGATCGTAAACTTTGTCCTCCTCCACGCTCTCAATAAAAATCCGAACTTCTGCGCGCCAACATCAGTCGAGTAAAACAAACAGTTCCCCGCCATGTTCAGATACAAGACTCAACTACCAACCTCCCTCCCCACCACACACAAAAAAAAACAACGAATCCCGCCATAGCATGAAACTAGTATCCCCTCACACCGACGACTGGACCTAAGCTCGGCCAAATCTCCACCGTACATGCGGCCGCGGAGAAAACAAGAACTCTCCGGGACAACACCGACAACTAGCAGACATGACCACCACCACACACAACTTGCTGGCAAGAACGAGACAACAAAAGGCGCACAAGACGAAAACGCTCCCACCACCATATCCGGACGAGCAAGAATTACACACACTCAGATCTACAGCACCCCGCTGTCTCATAAAAGAAGTGGTTAAATCACTTAAAGAGGCAAGTAACCGCCCTGCTAGGGAGAGGTAACAGCGAGCTTCCAAAGGTCATAAGTAGGGTAGCCTGGTCGTCGGCGATCCAGCCTAAAGACAAGGGGGGCTTGGGTATTCTAGACCCGGATATCCAGGTTACTGCGCTAATGGTACAGTGGGTTAGAAGATTGCTATTCACGCCAGACCTTCCATGGCACGCCCGTGCGCTGGAGCAGATTGCTAGACTGGCATGCACCACGAGGCATAGATCCCCTGACCTGGCTGGAGGACTGCTATTGGTCCATACCAAGGTGCCCTCGGGAGGACAGGAGCTCCAACCCAGGCGCAGCGAGGAGCGATCCGGCCAGAGACGACTTCTGGCCTCCGGTTCTGAGGGCCTGGCGCCTACCATTGCCAGATTAATCTCTGCTGAGTAGATGGGAGGAGGTGATGAGGCAACCCCTCTTTGGTAATAGAAATATCACCGATAGGAATGGGAGGGGTTATCGTAGCTCGGACTCCCCATGGAGCAGCTGGGTCAGGAATGGCAGAGTGAGGATCAAGGATATATGAGACCCGGCGAGCACAGACTGGAAAATGGCCCCGCAACTGAGGGTCCCGTTAAGGTACTGTCACAATATTGAAAGGAACCTGGAAACGCCGATATTTGTTGTCCCCCTCGACTGGGTGTGTATTCTACATAAGGCACCAGGCTGGCAGAAGGGGAGAGGTTGCCATCCTGCGCGACACCTGCACGACACGGAGAGTGCAAGCAACATGGTGGAGGCACGGACAGGTGAATCCACAAGGTCAACCTCTTCCACAAGGGATCCTCACCAGATACACCCCGGACGCTGTGAGGTGATGGAAGTGATGGAGGAATGAGGAGCTGGAAAGGGTCCGGGTAATGAAACACAAGGCGTTCATCCCCGGAATACTTCTGAAGTCGTTCTAGAAGCTCCTTGATAGGGGCTCGGAGGAGAACGAGTCTCGGGTGTATCCTTCTTCGATATACTTTTCCGTGCGCTTCCCGCCTAACCCAAGAGACTTGCACCCCCCTTTGCTGAACTTCCCTTTGACCCAGAGGAGTGGCAATGGATGCAGCATGCAGAATGCCGGCTGATTTGAAGATAATTTTTTTGTTCCGGTTTTAGTCCCCGGGAGTTGCAGTTGGGCTAAGCCACAGGCATTTGGCGGTTGTGGGTGGTGTGCGTGGCCGTTTTCTTTCTAGTACCTCAGGTATGCCTAGACTCGAGGTTTTGCCTTTCGTATGGCCTATGTTTTTGTGGGCGTCTGTTTTTGGCTTATGGATTGGACCCATAACTGTAGCATGCAGGTGTTGCGATTTGGTTTGTAAATGTCGGTGGGTGACGGCATGGCAGGCAGGAGCTGACGTAGTCGGGGGTCTGCTTCGTAGTGCATCAATGCTGCGGGGGTGGGGGAGTTGTTTGGTTGTTAGCTTGGCTTGTTCACTTTTGTAGGGTGAGGCCATGAGCCCCTTGTGTGAACCTATGACTGTTAGGGGAATCAGAGCCTATAGGCGGATGAGGCTCAGTATCTTTGCTACTTACCGGTGGTGGTGCAGCTGTGGGTTGCTGCTGGGTTTTTGTATCAGAACTAGTTATTAATGCGTAGAGGGGGCTCACATGATTGCATGTGTGTGCATAAGTGTGTGGCAGTGTGTGAGTGTGTGTACCTGTGCGGTGCCAGTGGTAGTACACTCTGTGAGTGTGTTTAGGAGCGGGTGAGTGTGTGTGTGTATGTGTGTGTGTGTGTGTGTGTGTGTGTGTGTGTGTGTGTGTGTGTGAGAGAGAGTGCGAGCGAGCAATCGACTGACCATGGTAATGTGCGTGTCTGTGAGTTGTGCGTTTG